TCAATGCAAATCTTCTAAGGACTTTCCACCCTCACAAAAAATCTATTTAAAGGGTACAAAAGATTATTCAGAGTTTAGTAACATATAGGAAAAGAGGAGGGTCAATAACATTTTACATTCAGCCCAACTGGCTCACTGTGCGCGGAACTGATGGGATTGGACACTGCACAATGGTAATTCCCAGCATCCTCCCTCCATATGGGTTCTATGGTGAGGGATCTGTCGTTCCAGGACAGCTTCTTCCGCTTCGTCAGCCGAAGATTTATGCCATTGAAGAACCACTGGATGGAGTCTGCATTTGTGTAGCAGATCAGGATCACGGAATCCGTACGCTCTACGACTGTGGTTTTGCTGGCTAGGACGGTGGGCCTTGTCACTGGCTCTGTGGAGAAATAGAGAGCATGGCTAATTGAGAGTGGGCTTGGGACCTGGGCCATGCTAGCTCCTCAGACATCTCAGCCACTCAGAGTCCACTGTGAGCTCTGTAAGGTCACGAGAGAATGGTTCTGATCTCTGCAGAAGGACAATTGTCTTTCTTCAGGGGAAGATGTGTGGGGAAAGGGTTGCACCTCTTCTCTGAACCCAGATCACCCCTGACTTCTTCCCATAGACATCTTTGTAGTATCAACACAGGGAACCATGTCACAGCCCATGTGTCCTATAACGTCACTGTAAGGTGGAGTTTTCCTCTCATGAGCTTTTACTGACCCTTTCCTACAAGTTCTTTTGACTTAAAAATTTCATGTATGTTGGGAAAGGCAATCTTACCACTTCTGCCCACACTGGGGCCAAGGGGTCTTTACAGAAAGTGAACGGGCATTTAATTTTTGTTAAATAACTCATTAGGCAATAAAGATGGCCAACCCAGTCTTCATGACCTTGGACCTGGATAAGTTCCATCTATAGGATTCCTCAGTCTGAACAGGACTTTATTTACAGGCCTGCTGATTGCATATAATTGTAAAATAAATCACTAAACAGAAATGGTTATGATTTTAACAAAAGACAGTAACTGTAGGTATAGGAGGAAATTCCTTAATATGGTAAAGACCACACATGAAAGTCTACAGCTAACACATTACTCCACAGAGAACCTCTGAAAAACAGTACTGAGATCATGAATAATACAAGGATGCTGTTTTTCCACTAATTCATCTAGTCAGGAAAATCAGGCAAGAAGATGAGATAAGTGATATCCAATTTAGAGAGGAATAAGAAAATATCTTTTTAAAAAAGACAACGAAAACTTATTGTAGAACACCCTGAAGATTTCTCCACATACACACCTAAAACAACTATTATAACTAATAAAAAAGATGAAGTCGCCAGAGACAGAATCAACACTCAGCATCATTTCCATTCTGTAAACAAAAATGAAAAATCCTCAAATAAAATAAACAATTTCATTTACAATAGCATCAAAAAGACTAGATGCTTCGGGTTAAACATAATAAGTTGGAAGATGAATTCACTGAAAACTACCAAACATTTCTGAAAGTAAAAAGGAAACAAATAACTGGAAAGACATTCATGTTCATTGATTCCAAGACCACCAACTATCTACCTATTTGAAACAATCCCTATCAACATCCCAAATACTTTTTTCAGAAATAAAAAAAAATTAATCGAGACTTTATGTGGAATTTCAATGGATCCCAAATCTTTACAACAATCTTAAAAAGGATGAATTGAAATTGGACGTCTCACTGTTACTAATTTCAAATCTTACTACAAAGGGAAAGTAACCAGAATAATTACACTGGCATAAAGACCTCTATTTGTCAAAAGACACAATCAAATGATTTTAATAAAGGAGCCAAGACTGTTCAATGGAGAAAGGACAGTCTTTTCAACAAATGCCTTTGAACAGCAATATCTACATGCAACCAAATAAAAGGGACCGTTGCTTATACCATACATAACAATTCAGTCAAAATGGATTGAATCCTAAAGGTAAGAGCTAATATTATAAAACTCTTCAAAGAAAACATAGTGGTAAGCAGTATGGCATTGGATTTGGCAGTGATTTCTTGAATATG